CAGATCCCTCCAGGAGGTCCCTCCAGCCCCTCAAGCCCCCCCAGATCCCTCCAGGAGGTCCCTCCAGCCCCTCAAGCCCCCCCAGATCCCTCCAGGAGGTCCCTCCAGCCCCTCAAGTCCCTGGTTCCTACCTCGGTGTCTCCTCAGCACCTCCCTCAGGGCCACCTTCTCCTCAGGAAGCCCCGGGGGTTCCTGTCCCACCCCAGTTGCCTTCTGGCCACCATCTTTCTCCAGCCTGGAAAGGAGGAAGAAGCTTTCAGGCCAGGACCATCCTGCTCCTGGTGGTCACCAAGCACCAACCTCCACCAAGGCAAGTCCAGGAGATGGAGGAAAAAAAGGCCTTTTTGGGGCCAGTTTTGTCCTCCCATTGACCCATCATCTCCATCCATGTCCTAAGAGGACACAAGGAAGGGGGAGGGAAGTTCAGCCTTGGCTTCCCTCCCACCTTGGATGGTCCTCAAGACCCCAAATCCTTCCACCTCCAGGTGATTGAGGAGGTCATGGAGGAGGCACCATCACTTGGTGACCCTTCCTTGCTCCTCAACACCCTCCTTGGACCTTGTGTGGCCTCCTGAAAGGACCACGAGTTGGAGGGGGGGGGGTCTGGGAGGACATTTGTGTCCCCAAAATCATGGGCCACCAGTGAGGAGGAGTGAGAGGAGCCACCAACCTTCTCCAGATGTTCCTGCTGTCCTGCAAAGGGGAGGGAGAGGGACCTTTAGTGGTGGCAGCCATCTTGGCATGGCTGAAGACCATGTTTAGACCCCAAAAAGAACCTCTCCCAAAGGTGCATCAGGGCCTGGTGGCACCTCAGGTCCCCCCAGATCCCTCCAGAAGGTCCCTCAAGTCCCCCCAGATCCTCCCAGGAGGTCCCTCCAGCCCCTCCAGTCCCCCCAGATCCCCCCAGGAGGTCCCTCCAGCCCCTCAAGTGCCCCCAGATCCCTCCAGGAGGTCCTACCAGCACCTGAAGTGCCACCACCAGCCCCCAGATCCCCCCTCACCGTTTCTCCTTTCTGTCCTGTGGAGCCCTGGGGACCAGGGAGGCCCCTGTCCCCTTTGTCCCCTTGTTCCCCTGAGGGTCCGATGAGGCCAATGAGACCAGGGTGGCCCTGAGGAGACACCAGTGGAGCTCAGCAGGGGCCACCAACAGGGACATGGTGGCCCAGGGGAGACCAACATGGGGCCACCACCAAGGACCCACCACCCGTGTGGGTCCCCAACACAGGGGTCATTGGGGTGACACGTGTCACTCACCTTCTCTCCTTTGGCCCCAGTGTCACCTTTGAGGCCAGGAAGCCCCGGTGGACCCTGCAGGGACACAAGTGACATGTGAGTGACCATCACCTTGGGGTGTCCCCACCTTGGGGGTGGCCACGATGGGAAGGTTGGGGACCACTCACCAGTGGTCCTGGTGGCCCAGCCTGGCCCGGGGTCCCTGGTTTGCCTTGTTCCCCCTGCACGAGGAGAAGGTGAACTGGTGGTACTGGTGAGAGGTCCCCATGTCCCCAGGGGTGGCACTTACCACAGAGCCGGGCAGACCCCGAAGTCCATCAGGTCCTGGTTTCCCAGCAAGACCCTGAGGTCCCACTGGGCCCGTCTTGCCTGGAGCCCCCACGGGACCAGCTTCACCCTGAGGGGACAAAGGGGACAGTGGGGACAATAGGAACAATCTCCTAGAAGACCCCTTGGGGTGTCCCCACGGGTCACCTGGTGGACCCAGTGTTGGAGGCCACCAAATATGGAATGGCCACCAAGTTGACATCAAATGGTCACCAAATCACCACTAAATTGTCACTAAGTTGCTGTGAAATTGTCACTAAACTGTCACCAAGTTGTCCCCAAATTGTCATCAAGTTTTCTCCAAATTGTCACCAAATTGCCACCAATTTCCACCAAGTTGTCCCCAAGTTGTCATCAAGTTGTCACCAAATTGTGACCAGGTTGCCAAATTGTCCCCAAATTGCCACCAAATTGTCATCAAGTTGTCCCCAAATTGTCATCAAGTTGTCATCAGGTTGTGACCAAGTTGCCACCAATTTGTCCCCAAGTTGCCACCAAATTGTCCCCAAATTCTCACCAATTTGTCCCCAAAGTGTCACCAAATTGCCACTGAATTGTGACCAAGTTTCACCAACTTGTCCTCAAATTGTCCCCAACTTACCACTGAATTGTCACCAAGTTATCACCAAACTGCCACTAAGTTGTCCCTGAATTGTCCCCAATTGTCACTAAAGTGTCACCAAATTGGCCCTGAATTCTCACCACGTTGCCACTAAATTGTCACCAAGTTGTCACCAAACTGTCCTCAAATTGTCCCCAAGTTGTAACTGAGTGACACTAAATAGTGACCATGTTGCCACCAGATTGTCCCCAAACTGTCCCCCCCACTCACCTTGGCTCCCTTTTCGCCCTGTCGCCCCTCGGGGCCGGGGGACCCGGCAGGACCCTGGGGGGGACACAGGGGTGAGGGGGGG